AATTGTGTATAATAGAGAATTGGTAAAGAATTTGGTCAAGTGTAAGTTTTAGTTTACAGATTTTTTTTTAATAATGTGTGAAAATTTGATGTATCTTCTATGTATTGTGTTTCCCTAAACAGATCACTGATTCTGGAAAGAAAGGCGGGAGGCACTGTCTCTACAATGAGTCTTCACGAGGAGAGAGATGATCAGACTCAGACAGCAGCGTCTGCAGTGTCCAGCTGTGTGTCTTTGAAGAGTACTGACTCCATGAGTGAACCTCCTACAATGAGTGATGAATCAATGACCTCTGACCCAAAGTAAGATGCTACATAACAAACACAGTTACACAGAGATTTTAATTGAATGGCACTTTTATTCATATATTAGAAATCCATTATTTGGCTTAATGAATTGTTAGTATAAACAATGCCTGTTCCAATGGTTCTGTCATAAAAGATGAACAGAAAGACACAATATTTATTTAAAATGAGTTTAAGATAAGGATAACTGTTTTCTCTTTGCACTGCAATTGAAAACGATAGAAGGGATAATAGACCTTGCTATGTTGTCATTTCTGGACAATGTATTGTTTTTCAGTGCTCTTTTTTTTTTTTACCTTTCTCTCGTTCAGTTCATAGCGAGGCTTGCCCAGTCAGGTTGATTTAAATTGCTTTTGTGCTGCTGCGCATTGGAGACCAGTGATGGGGAAAGTTACTTTTAAAAGTAATGCAATACCATAATGCGTTACTCTATATAAAAGTAACTAATTGTGTAACTTATTTACTTTTTATGGAAAGTAATGCATTACATTACTTTTACGTCAGTTACTTTTTTGTCACCTGTGCTGGGCTTGTTTATTTGTTTTTAATATAAAAAAACAGCGATAGATGGACGGACGCTGAAGCGCAGGCACTTGTAGCAAATGTAGCACGGCCAGTTGTCGTTGGAGATTCTTAGTCCTCCTTTCCGTTCTTTCAGTCGCTTTACGTATACGTCAACATTCCACCGACCGGCTTACATCACTTCTTAGTACACACTGTCGGTGCGAATGCAACCCTTTAAATGGTACTGGGAAATAGTCTGTGCAAAATCGTCCCAGTAAGTCAAAAATCCAGTATCTCAAAATATTAGAATATTTACATTTGAGTTTCATTAAATGACCATCCCTACAGTATACATTCTTTGAAAGCACAATAATGGGGAAGACAGCTGACTTGGCAATGGTCCAGAAGACAATCATTGACACCCTGCACAAAGAGGGTAAGTCACAGAAGGTCATTACTGAAAGGGGTGGTTGTTGACAGAGTGCTGTATCAAAGCATATTAAATGCAAAGTTGACTGGAAGGAAGAAATTGGGTTGGAAAAGGTGCACAAGCAACAGGGATGACCGCAAGCTTGAGAATACTGTCAAGCAAAGGCAATTCAAACACTTGGGAGAGCTTCACAAGCAGTGGACTGAAGCTGGAGTCAGTGCATCAAGAGTCACCACGCTCAGACGTCTTCAGGAAAACTTCTGAAACAGAAACAACGTCAGAAGCATCTTACCTGGGCTAAGGAGAAAAAGAACTGGTCTGTTGCTCAGTGCTCCAAAGTCCTCTTTTCAGATAAAAGTAAATGTTGCATTTCATTTGGAAATCAAGGTCTGGAGTCTGGAGGAAGACTGGAGATGCACAGAATCCAAGCTGCTTGAAGTCCAGTGTGAAGTTTCCGAAGTCAGTGATGATTTGGGGTGCCGTGACGTCTGCTGGTGCTGCTCCATTGTGTTTGATCAAGTCCAAAGTCAATGCAGCCGTCTACCAGGAGATTTTGGAGCACTTTATGCTTCCATCTGCTGAAAAGCTTTATGGAGATGCTGATTCCCTTTTCCAGCAGGACTTAGCACCTGCCCACAGTGCCAAAACCACTTCCAAGTGGTTTGCCGACCATGATATTACTGTGCTTGATTGGCCAGCCAACATGCCTGACCTGAAGCCCTTGTAGCAAATGTAGCACGGCCAGTTGTCGTTGGAGATTCTTAGTCCTCCTTTCCGTTCTTTCAGTCGCTTTACGTATACGTCAACATTCCACCGACCGGCTTACATCACTTCTTAGTACACACTGTCGGTGCGAATGCAACCCTTTAAATGGTACTGGGAAATAGTCTGTGCAAAATCGTCCCAGTAAGTCAAAAATCCAGTATCTCAAAATATTAGAATATTTACATTTGAGTTTCATTAAATGACCATCCCTACAGTATACATTCTTTGAAAGCACAATAATGGGGAAGACAGCTGACTTGGCAATGGTCCAGAAGACAATCATTGACACCCTGCACAAAGAGGGTAAGTCACAGAAGGTCATTACTGAAAGGGGTGGTTGTTGACAGAGTGCTGTATCAAAGCATATTAAATGCAAAGTTGACTGGAAGGAAGAAATTGGGTTGGAAAAGGTGCACAAGCAACAGGGATGACCGCAAGCTTGAGAATACTGTCAAGCAAAGGCGATTCAAACACTTGGGAGAGCTTCACAAGCAGTGGACTGAAGCTGGAGTCAGTGCATCAAGAGTCACCACGCTCAGACGTCTTCAGGAAAACTTCTGAAACAGAAACGCCGTCAGAAGCATCTTACCTGGGCTAAGGAGAAAAAGAACTGGTCTGTTGCTCAGTGCTCCAAAGTCCTCTTTTCAGATAAAAGTAAATGTTGCATTTCATTTGGAAATCAAGGTCTGGAGTCTGGAGGAAGACTGGAGATGCACAGAATCCAAGCTGCTTGAAGTCCAGTGTGAAGTTTCCGAAGTCAGTGATGATTTGGGGTGCCGTGACATCTGCTGGTGTTGCTCCATTGTGTTTGATCAAGTCCAAAGTCAATGCAGTTGTCTACCAGCAGATTTTGGAGCACTTTATGCTTCCATCTGCTGACAAGCTTTATGGAGATGCTGATTCCCTTTTCCAACAGGACTTAGCACCTGCCCACACTGCCAAAACCACTTCCAAGTGGTTTGCTGATCATGATATTACTGTGCTTGATTGGCCAGCCAACATGCCTGACCTGAAGCCCATATGGAATCTATGGGATATTTTGAAGATGAGAAACAGTGGATCCGAGCTGAAGGGTCAATAGTTCTCAGCATAGTGTGCAGAAATGAACATACTTTAAAAGAACTTGAACTTTTCTGTTTTGCAAATCCCTTTTTTGATTGATCTTAGTAAATATTCTAATATTTTGAGGTACTGGATTTTTGACTTTCATGAGCTGTAAGCTCTAATCATCAAAATAAAAAAATAAAAACTTTTGAAATGTTTTACTGTACATGTAATGAATCTAGAACATATGAAAGTTTCACTTTTTGAAATGTTACCAAAAAAAAAAAACTTTTTACAATATTAAAATTTTTTGAAATGCACCTGAACATTACACTATTTACACATTTATTAGCACGTAACCCAACCCCTGCCCCTAAACCTATCATTTGTCAATAAAACACAAGATATAACAGGCAGATAATTCAAACACTTGGGAGAGCTTCACAAGCAGTGGACTGAAGCTGGAGTCAGTGCATCAAGAGTCACCACGCTCAGACGTCTTCAGGAAAACTTCTGAAACAGAAACAACGTCAGAAGCATCTTACCTGGGCTAAGGAGAAAAAGAACTGGTCTGTTGCTCAGTGCTCCAAAGTCCTCTTTTCAGATAAAAGTAAATGTTGCATTTCATTTGGAAATCAAGGTCTGGAGTCTGGAGGAAGACTGGAGATGCACAGAATCCAAGCTGCTTGAAGTCCAGTGTGAAGTTTCCGAAGTCAGTGATGATTTGGGGTGCCGTGACATCTGCTGGTGTTGCTCCATTGTGTTTGATCAAGTCCAAAGTCAATGCAGTTGTCTACCAGCAGATTTTGGAGCACTTTATGCTTCCATCTGCTGACAAGCTTTATGGAGATGCTGATTCCCTTTTCCAACAGGACTTAGCACCTGCCCACACTGCCAAAACCACTTCCAAGTGGTTTGCTGATCATGATATTACTGTGCTTGATTGGCCAGCCAACATGCCTGACCTGAAGCCCATATGGAATCTATGGGATATTTTGAAGATGAGAAACAGTGGATCCGAGCTGAAGGGTCAATAGTTCTCAGCATAGTGTGCAGAAATGAACATACTTTAAAAGAACTTGAACTTTTCTGTTTTGCAAATCCCTTTTTTGATTGATCTTAGTAAATATTCTAATATTTTGAGATACTGGATTTTTGACTTTCATGAGCTGTAAGCTCTAATCATCAAAATAAAAAAATAAAAACTTTTGAAATGTTTTACTGTACATGTAATGAATCTAGAACATATGAAAGTTTCACTTTTTGAAATGTTACCAAAAAAAAAAAAACTTTTTACAATATTAAAATTTTTTGAAATGCACCTGAACATTACACTATTTACACATTTATTAGCACGTAACCCAACCCCTGCCCCTAAACCTATCATTTGTCAATAAAACACAAGATATAACAGGCAGATACAGCTACAGTCACAATTTATTCAAAACATATAAATATTCCAAGTCTTCTGAGGCAAAGAGATTGATTTGTGAGAGGAATAGCCATGAGATCCGCCGTCTCTGTCCGCCGTAAAACTCATCCTGTGTGCAGCAGTCTGTGCGCAAATTCAAAAAATGCTGCCAAAAGAAGCCTTACTTCAGCCTTGGTTGTGAAATGCTATTGGCTCTTGTGTGTCTCGTGACCAATTGTGTCATGCTATTGGTGTATCTTTTTGAATGAGATGTGAGCGCATTAACGGAGTGGGATCATTTTCAGTGATTTAAATCTTATTTTTTACCCTTTTCTTCGCATAAAGATATCGTATGGCTTCAGAAGACTTGGAATGCAACACTACTTGTTTGTAATGCTTTTATATTGATTTTTATAGTAGGTTGTTGCAATAAATACCTGTGTCTGTACTTTTATTTGCCTGCTTCGTGTTTTATATTGTTCAGAAGTGGGTAAGTTTAGGGTAGGGGTGGGGTTAGGTGCTCCAATGAAAGTATATGTGACTGAGACTTCATCAGTGGCTGTGTTGATGTCAAACCTCATGAAAGGAGAGCTGCTTCCCTCTGCTCTCATCTGGATCACCTCCAGACCAGCAGCAGCCAATCAGATTCCCTCCAAATACATCCACCGTCTGACAGAAATTCAGGGGTTCACTGAGCCTCAGAAGGAGGAATATTTCCGGAAGAGAATCAGTGAGCAGCATCAAGCCAGCAGAATCATCTCACACATCAGAAGAGCAAGAAGCCTCCACATCATGTGCCACATCCCCGTCTTCTGCTGGATCTCATCCACTGTGCTTCAGAAGCTCCTGGAAGAAGATCTGAGTGCAGAAATGCCTCAAACTCTGACTGAAATGTACATCCACTTCCTGCTGATTCAGATCAACATGAGGAACCAGAAGTCTGAAGAGAGAGATCCAGAGAAACTCCTGCAGTCCAACAGAGAAGGGATTGTGAAACTTGCTGAAGTGGCTTTCAAACAGCTGATGAAGGGAAATGTGATGTTCTATGAGGAGGACCTGATTGAGAGCGGCATAGACGTCACTGATGCCTCAGTGTATTCTGGGATTTGCACTGAGATCTTTAAGCAGGAATCTGTGATTCATCAGAGGAAAGTCTACAGCTTCATTCATCTGAGCATTCAGGAGTTTCTTGCTGCTTTCTATGTTTTTTACTTTCATGTGAATAAAACTATGGAGGAATTTAAGAATTTAGCTTCAGTACAATATTTGCTTAAAGGTGTAGTAGATGAATCACTTCAGAGCAGAGATGGCCATCTGGATCTGTTCCTGCGGTTCCTGCTGGGCGTCTCACTGGAGTCCAATCAGAGACTCTTACAGGATCTACTGACACACACAGAGAACAGCTCAGAGAGCATCAGGAGAACCACACAGTACATTAAAGAGAAGATCAGAGATGGACATGGACTCTCCACTGAAAGATCCATCAATCTGTTCCTCTGTCTGCTGGAAGTGAAAGATCAGACTCTGTTCAGAGAGATTCAAGAGTTTGTGAAATCAGACAAACACTCAGAGAAGAAACTCTCTCCTGCTCACTGCTCATCAATCGCCTACATGCTTCAGATGTCAGAGGAGCCGCTGGATGAGATGGACCCAAAGAAATACAACACATCAGATAAGGGGAGAAGAAGACTGATACCAGCTGTGCTCAACTGCAGAAAAGCTCTGTGAGTGTTTAATCATGTCTTACAGTGCAGAATCACTTCTGGAATTAAAGTTCCTGTTGTCGTGCTAACTAATCTTAAGTATATTTAGCTTATTTTAGGAATTTAATAACACTTTATACTAGACTGAAATGAACTAAATTGAAATGCTAGTTGTAGTATGAGGTTATGAATTTGATTCTCATGTGTTTTACTGTCTTTCAGTCTTACTGGCTGTAATCTGACTGGTCAGTCATTTGAAGTTGTGTTAGCAGCTCTACAAGCCCCAAACTCTTTCCTGAGAGAGCTGGATCTGAGTAACAATGACCTGCAGGATTCAGGAGTGAAGCTGCTCTCTGATGCACTGAAGAATCCAAACTGTCAGCTGCAGATACTGAGGTATTAAGAACATATAAGAGATAATTTACAGTCATAATATTGACGTGTGTCTGAACAGGATCTTTAGCATGCTAAATATCTGCACCTGTCTGTGAATCCCGTAGATGATCTGTCTCCCAGCTAACAATTTTAAAGGTCCCATATTGTACACCTTTCTGGAGTTTTATTTTAGGTTTTGATGCCCTTAAGAATATATATTTGTGGTATAAGTACCAAAAACCATCTCAATATATTTTTACAGCTCCTCTCTCAGGAGCTCTGCTGAGAACAGGTCGATTTTGGTCTGTCTAATTAATATTCATGAGCCTCTCTTCTGATTGGCCTGTTGTTTTCTGAGTGATGCACGGCCAGGCCAACCACAGGTAACTAGGGTCAGCGACGTCACAGCGCTAGCTGGAGGCAGCAAAACGAAGGGATGTGATCACCTCATAGTAACAATCCTGTCAGATCGTCCATCCTTTGAGTGAGAGTGTAACCTTACAGGTCGGCCGATCTGGTTTCATGGTTAAAGTTAACCTTTTCGACATGTTTCCGTGTTGTCCTTGCTCAGCAAAAGCATGGACATGATGTTGTCTGGGGGTTTGGCAAAAGGAGAGTGGGACGGTGGGCGGTGCTCGGGGTGGTGACTGAAGGCGGTGACTGTGTAGTTCTGACGTCATCTTTTTACAGCAGTCACAACGGTTCATGAGAAATAGCTAGAACTTTAAGCAGGCTTTTTTTTAAACTTATATGGTAGTTAAATAGTCCCTAGACCTCAGTAATCGTGAAAAAAGCAAGGAAATTTCAGTTTTGACAATATGGGTGTCACAGTACAGAAGGTGACCAGGGACGGAGAGGTAAAGTAAACAGAGCGCTTTATTGAACAGGTGCTGGGAGAGAGAGAGAGAGATGGAGAGCAAACGGGTTAGAGCAACAGTCTATGGAATGGAAGGGATCGGGCTCACGTGATGACGGGTTCCTTTGTGTATCGGGCTGAAGAGGGTGGCACAGAGACAGGAAGGTATCAGGATGGAGTCCGGGTTCAGTGAGTCAGGTAAGGAGTAGCGTAGTGAACTCAAGACCAGACGAAGTGTGACTGCAGTGACTGTGCATTTAAGCTGGTGCTGATGAGTACTCCGGTGATTGTGAACGGGTGTGTGAGATGATTGGGCCTGACGAGGCTGGACTCTCCCTGACAATGGGACCTTTAAGTTCTAAGAAAGTTTTTAGAACATATTTTTGGTTATGGGAACGTTCTATATGTCCAGTTTTCTGAATGTCAGTGGAACGTTTTTTAAGGTTAGTGTGATGTTCCTGAAACGTTCTTTCATCTTAATTTTCATGAATTACTCCGCAATCTAGGAACATTGATTTGTAAGTTTCCAAGAACATAAAATTGCCAAGTTTCCTTAACTTTAATAGAACATCATTTAAAGATTAGTATGATGTTCTGAAATGTTCTTTCAACTGAAGTTTTATGAACATCTCAGCATCTACACATAAAAATCCTCAGTGCTAAATGAACACTACTGTATGTCTGCATGTCTATATAAAAATAGAGATCATCTAAAACACAGCAATTACAACTGACTTCCAGTCACAGCCTTAGATGAAAACAACTGAAATAAAACATTAAATCTCTGAAGATCTCAGCAGAGGAGGATTAAACAACTCCACAAACAGCATCACCAGCTTTACTTATTACTAACCGCTGTGACTTTATTTATGTCATGCAAAAGTTCCTATTGAGAATTAACAGAGGTTTATGTTCATAGTTTTATTTCATTTGAAGGTTGCCATTTTGGTGAATAGTGTTTGCTTGAGTTGGGCTCTCGTTCCTTGCCTTTCTAACGTTAGTTATTCTCTGACTGCTGCAATTCTGTGTTTACAAAGCACATTGTTATAGCAAAGAAAACCAGGAGAATCAGGAGATGTTGGCTGTTTAATGCTGACAAAAATCATCATGGCTTGGTTCACTGATTGTTACATTTGACATTGCTGACTATAATAGCTCTTTATTTCTTCAGATTGAGTTTTTGACAACGTGAACAATTTTGTAAATATGTTGTGCCCAAAATGTTTTCTATTACGGCACACATAGACATGAAGAGTCAGCATATGAATCTCAACATTGGTGACAGTCAGCAAAATATTCAGATAAACAGATCTTTGAACATCAGAAAACAAGCTACTAAAAAGTCACAACAAAAATAGCAAAAAATGAAAGCAATTAGTAAGAATAAAAGAAAATACTAAGACAATTCAGGTGCATAATTTATTCATGTTGCAATGCATTCTGGAAGCCATGAATGAGTTTTGATTGGTGCACCCAGAATGCATTGCAGCACGAGGATTTTTGTTTATTGTCACCATTGTTGAGATTCATATGCTGCTTCTTGATGAATATTTGCATCTCAATCATACAGTTGTTCAAAATTGTTTTTACAATCAATCAAACTGCCAGATTAAAACATAACTTTCATCAACAATATTAAACTACTTTTGCGTCACATATATTCTCAGATTTAAACTCTGGATGTGATTAACAAATCATGCCACTACATGACAACTAAGTCATTATTAACAACTAGCCAACACCACCTGAACACATTTTCTTTTGGCTCTTTTGCTGTAACAAATGTGTCTTTTTTTCAAACATAGACTTGCAGCAACCAAAGCAAAACTAATGTTAGAAAGTCAAGGGTTAAGAGCTCAACTAAACACTGATCGCCTTAATGGTGACTTGGAAACAAATGGAAACAAATTCAGCATCTAAACCTCTGTTCTCAATAAAAACCTTTTTAGACATATGACAGAAATAAAGTCAAACTGGTTAGTAATAAGTGAAGCTGGTAATGTAATGTGTTTTATTTCAGCTGATTTAATCTAGGACTGAGACTGGAAGTCAGTTGTAGTTGTGTTTCTGTTCGTCTCTTCAGTGATTCTGCTTGTTAACATTAGGTGTGATCACTAATGGTCAGTCATCACTTAATTATCGAATTCAATCCAACACTGCTTTAGTGTTATTTGAACACTGTAGTGTGGACACATACGATTATGTAAATGTTAGGATGAATCATTTTTAAAGTAATGTTAACTGATCATTCGTATGATGTTGATAGAATTGCTATGTTCTCATATTTTAGGGAAAAATGTTCTTAGAACAACATTCTTGAAGTGTCCTTTAAACATTAGAAGGACAACAAACTTCAGATGATTAAGGTTAATAATCAAACAACCAAGTAGTAACATTAAAAAAAAACAAAAAAAACTTTAGATGGACATCTACTAAAATGTTCCAGAAAACAGTTCTAGAAACAATGTATAAGTACGTTGTTGTGTCAACCTCTTGAGAATGTCCCCTGTTAGCTGAGAAAGATGTTCAATGTTGTTCTAAGAATGTTTTCTCCCATTATTATGAGAACATTTAAAAACCTTCTACAAACAATGTGTGTAAATAACATGTTTGTCTAACCAGTTAAGACCAGATAACTTTGAACAAACATTCTGTTAACATTACTGGAGGAATGTTTGTTTATAACCTTGAGATAACCTTGATAGAACGTTAGCCAAAGTTCTGAGAACGTTCCCTGTTAGCTGGGCTGTTGATGTGTATCTGCAGATGGTCTAACTCAGGGGTGCCCAAACTTGTTTTAAAGGGGGCCAGATTCGATGTTGTGGACACACTTGGGGGCCGGATGATATATAGGGCTCCAGACTAATATTTGAGACCAGTGGCACCTGCACGTGATTTACTTTATTTAATATTAATAATTTTACATGTTTTGTCTCTTGGAAAGTAGCTTGAGTAGTTGAGATGCAGATGTAAATTTATTTTCATTAACACAAACGGTTACATCTGTAAAAAAATTTAACAGCCTTGTTTTTAAAGGGTAAAATTTGAATATTCTAATGGGGTAGAACTATAATCTTATTAAAATTAACCTTTGGTCTTCCATAGTATCATACATTTAGATCATGATAACCACAGGTAAAACCACACATGGCAAAAAATAACAATAAGGTTTCTAATGTTATCTAGAATGGCTTTATGGCATTTAGTTATTTCTGATTTAGTGTTGTTGAGAATGTCAGCGCAGTTTCTTCTGGATTTCAACTAGTTTAAATCACCAAGATATTTGTGTTTTGTACACTTTTGATTAAGAATTCTCTCTGCCCCTACCAGAGATTTCAAATAAGTAAAAAAAAAAACAAAACAAAAAAAACTACCATGATTGTGTCAGGGGGAAATAGTGAGCAGATATTTGAAATATTTATTAATAAACTAGTGTTTTCTGAGTCAGTGTCACAAGTCGATCCTGACTCGCCATCTCCTCACTGGACGTGCCTTTAGAGAGAAATGCATCTTTATGGATTACATAATGAAAGAGTTTGTTTTGAATTAATTGAAGAGTTTTATTGAAGTAATGAAGTAATTGAAAGCTTTATATAGATATATCATGTTTGTGAAGTAAATAGGATATTCACTGAGTTTCGGTTCATCATTGTGAAGTGCTCCTGTTCAAGACTAAGACGGCAGAAAAAAAAAACTACCATGATTGTGTCAGGGGGAAATAGTGAGCAGATATTTGAAATATTTATTAATAAACTAGTGTTTTCTGAGTCAGTGTCACAAGTCGATCCTGACTCGCCATCTCCTCACTGGACGTGCCTTTAGAGAGAAATGCATCTTTATGGATTACATAATGAAAGAGTTTGTTTTGAATTAATTGAAGAGTTTTATTGAAGTAATGAAGTAATTGAAAGCTTTATATAGATATATCATGTTTGTGAAGTAAATAGGATATTCACTGAGTTTCGGTTCATCATTGTGAAGTGCTCCTGTTCAAGACTAAGACGGCAGAAAGCGCATCCTGTTTGCTTACTTTATTTTAAAGCACAATGTTTTGTTGTGAGCACACACAAATAAAAGACCATGTAATAATCAAATGTAAAATAACTGCACAGTCTTCACTGTATAAATTAAATATAGATTAATCATTTTTGATGTTACCAAAGTTTAGTCAGGTGCAGTGAGCACTTGTATTTTTTTGACAGCAGTTATTATTAGTTTGCTTTCACTTTAAGAACGAAGCACAGATTTAATATACTGATACACATGCCTTTTCTTTCTCAACTGTTTATGTTAAGACATACGCCTAACCCACTGTGTTTACTAGGATATTCGACAAAATGCACATTTTGATGTACATTTTTCTGTATTTATTCATCCATCCACTTCTCACACAGCACTCGACTGTTCCGCAAACAATCCTGAGCGTCTTTTATGCTCACCTTGTGCCTTCGGGCAGTCCTTATATCGTTATGTGAAAATGTGGACAGTGCCAAAATAAAGGTGCCTATTTATACTACAGATATCTATATTTTACGCGTGGCATCGATGTATCGTAACGTCAGACATCGTGTCGATGTATCGATCCATATCGATGAATCGTTACACCCCTACTTTCGCAACAGCATCAAATGATTTTTTAAGTCAGTTTAATAAGTTGAAACGACTTTCACAGTCAATTTGATTCAACTAAATTCTTGCTTATATTATCATTGTAGGATTAGGCTACTTTTTTCAATGAATTTGAATGAACATACGAATTAATAAAATTAATTGTATTTATTTTTTGTTACAAAATGTTCATTTATTTATGTTAACAATAAAATTTTGCAATCAAAAAATTCACATGAGTGTGCGTTATGCCATTTTTAACACATTAAGTTATGATTTGCAAGTCAAAGTAGACTTACATTTCATTAAGAGATATTTTAAACAAACACACCTTGGCTGTCTTTATACTTCACGCATTCCTCAAAGATAAAATGCTGCTGAGCAATGATAATGTCCATGCTTTGAATATTTCATCATCTGCAATATGCATAATGCAATACACATAAAAAAAACTTTTAATAATTATACACAGTATTACGTGAGCAAATAGTTATTGTCCATGTGGTAAAATCAGGCTACTTGCTTTGAATTAGGCTATATAGAAATGATAATGTACAAAGTAAACTTGACATAAAATAGTTTTGTTGGTATACCTTGGCATAAATGGTTGCATTTAGGTTGATTCAGTGATATTTGTTACTTGAATAAACCAGTTAATTTAGTCTTGTTGAAATTTTTGATTAACAAATGAGATTAGCCACAAACGAGAACACGGACATGTGATAAGTTGCAATCTGCAGTGAAATTTTCAAACACTGTAATGCACACAGAAAATTTTGGATTTGCAGCTTGATGAAATCACTGGCAATAAAACTTAGAAGAACATTGTAACATACCAGCAGATTTGCAAACAATAGAAGACAGGAATTTGGACGAGCGGCTTGCTTGACATCACTTTTCGTCCAGATATTTGTAAAGTCTTACGGAGGAGAAATAAATGGAATGTTCATTTTAACGGCGCAAAATTAGCACAGACGAACGGAACCGTTTCAGGGCAATTTGGCAAGGAGAGCGCCATGATTTAGCATATATTTTTATTGATTTTATTTTTTTTTACGGGGGATAAATAGTCGGTGTTCAATATTCTAATGGCAAAAGTCGAGCACAATTGGATTAGAACAATTTAGACTCACTGTAAAAAAAAAAAAACCTTTTACAAATTAATGCTGCCTTGAAATTTAAGCTTAGTCAAATTGAAATATGAAGTTAGTGAAACGTGAATATTTGAGTTGACTAAATTAACAATTGTAAGGCAGCTCGAACAATAAAAAAAAAACAATGGGGTGGAGAGTGAAGTTTTCATTGTATTTAAGAAGAGATCATGGTTACAGGGTTTCTTTTAACGGCACAAATCGAAGAAATTTGGATGACATGGGGTGGAGAGTGACGTCACTGCCTCGAATTCTGTTTGTTTTTTCTAAGAAGGGGAAATATATATGATGTTCATTTCAACGGCACAAATCAGCACTAATCGAGCACAAACTAATGACACCCGTTTTGTGTGATTATACGAACTGGGGTGGACATCACAGCCTCCTGAAAACATATTTTTGCTCCAACTTGCCCCAACACATCTACCTGAAACTTTATAGTAATCCTGAAAACTTTGATTAGCTGGTTTAGGTGTGTTTGATTCAGTTGGAGCTAAACTCTGCAGGACAGTGACCCTCAGTTGATGTGTGTCTGTAGGTTATCAGGCTGTATGGTGTCAGAGGAAGGCTGTGGTTATTTGTCTTCAGCTCTGAGTTCAAACCCCTCACATCTGAGAGAGCTGGATCTGAGCTACAATCACCCAGGACCATCAGGAGTCCAGCTGCTCAAACACAAACTGGAGGATCCCAACTATAAACTGCAGATACTCAAGTATGTAGTAATCTAATCCTGTTTACATGAAATAAGCTGCTCCGGAGCAGGTTTAAGTTTACGGACTGAGCTTCGAAGAACCAAACAAGCCAAGATCATGCCAAATCGTCAACAATCAAATCCAGCTAACTGAGTTAGCAACGTACGAAGAATGGGCCCCAACGGGCTCTTTCCTTTCAAGTCACAAGCAAGTCTTCAAGTCAAATCCCAAGTCCTCAAAGAGTTAAAGTTAATGAGATAATTAAGTGACTAATTAAATGATGATTGTGCATTAGTGATGAACAGCTGCTGTTATTGAGAATTACAGAGGATCAGATGTTGATGTTTTATTGGTTAAAATTATGTCACCATCATGAAGATCAGTGTTTGCTTTAGTTGGGCTCTTGACCCTTGACGCCTGTGTTATGTTGGGTTCAGACTACATGATATTTTTGGTGGTGACGATAGTCACTCTATAACATTACACAATTTTGATTCTTAAAGTCATGTCGTGGACAAGATATCAACACTACACAACATATCACACTACACGTTGCTTCCCAACCATTCATTAATCTTTAATCATGCGCGTCATGGAGAAGGGGGAACTTGTGACTGACTTCCGAAAGCTAGAGTGTAAACATTGCTAAAGTGCTTCTGCTATAGTACGCCGGCTTTTTTCTTCCTTTGTTCTTTCTTTGTTCTGTCGTGGTAGTCCCTCAATGACACATCATACAGGCAGGAGTACTGTTGCCTCAGCTCCACGAACCTTTCCTCCATCTCATAACTCCACCTAGCAGCACCATCATCTCTCCTTCGTTTCACTATGTTTGAAACCTGTGTATGAAAAAGCTTCTGTGCTGCTATTGGTCAACGTCACCAATGTGACAGAACTCGTCGTGGACGATGGAAAAAAAATTAAACATGCTAGTCTTTCTGTCGTGAAGCATCGCAGACACGGAATCGGTTGTCATCCACAATGACACACTACACGAGCTGAAACGATGGAATCTTGTGTCCCGACACCCATTGTCTTTTACGAATCCCCACAACACCCTACATCAAGAAAATCTTTTTTTTTCTTTTTTCATTTATACTGTTTAGGTTTTGCATAATCAACCCAGTGAAACTACAGCATGCAAGAACAGTGTTGCTCTAATAGTTACAGTGAATGAATTTTAAATCTATGTAACGCATTTAAAAAATAATGCTCGTGACACTCCGATACCATTTAGACACACACAGACATCAAGAACCAGCATATGAATCTCAACAATGGTGACAATCAACAAAATGTTTCATGCTGCAATGCATGCTGGGTAACACCATAGTAAAAACTCCCATCATGCACTGCAGCATGAATAATTATTGTCACCACTGTTGAGGATCATATGATAAGTGTTCATGTCTAAAAGCCTGAGCTGAGACAGTTTTTATTTTTATTTTTTTACTTTTTTTTCCTCTCTCAATATTTAAGCATTACAGTGGCATTTGTTTAATATTACTTTTTTTTTTTCTTTCAGTTCAGTAATAACTGAATGTCTGTCAATAAACCAAAGAGAGAGCACTTCATGATGTTCATTAATCATGAGTTGTAGGCAGAAAGTATAAGCTTGTCTGCTACTTCAAGGTTTGATTTAGTGATGGGAAGTTCGGAAGACTCGAAACAGGTGAACTACTTGACTAATTCCAGTACAGAACCTATAGGATGTTGCGCATGCGCGACTGAAAGAATCACTCCCCGAGATGACTCGTTCTTCCTGAGTCACATTAAAGATTTGTTCAAAATTAACGAATCGTTCAAGAACGACCCAACACTAGTTTGATTCAGCAATGCACAAATGTTTGCTGTGAAGCAATATTGCATTTGCTTAGAAGCAAATTATTGTAAATTATCAAAAGAGTCAAGAGACAAACTAAAGCGAACCTTGACCACAATTATGATGGCATCGTGTGTTTTCTTCTTTTCTTGACCAATAAAAAATCAACGTCTAAATCTCTGTTAATTCTCAATAAGATATTATGCAGACATAAAATAAAGTCAATCCAGTTAGTAATGTGAAGCTGGTGATGCTGTTTGTGGACTTGTTTAATCAGATCTTGAGAGATTTAATGTCTTTATTTCAGTTGATTTCATCTAAGGCTGTGGCTGAAGTCAGATCTTGTGTTTCTCTTTTCTTCAGTGATGTTGATTGTTAACAGCAGGTGTTCATCACTAATGCTCAATCAGCACTTAATTAATCACAGAATTATCTCATTAACTTTAACTCTTTGAGGACTTGGGATATGACTTGAAGACTTGCTTGTGACTTGAAAGGAATGGCTTGGTCCCATCTCTGATCTCCTGGCTGAAAAACTGTGCTAATTAGCAAATCCAGGTGATTGGAACAAAATACTGGGGAGGACTTTTACTTTCTGAACCTGGATTTTACACCTCTGCTTAAAATGGCCATAACACAAAAAATGTGTTATTAATTAACATCCTCTTTGAGAGTGCATATACATTCCATAAGCCCTTTTCAAGCAATCAGTTTACCATTTGTTTTGTGTGTATTTGTCCCTTTCTAGTTTGGACCATGGAAACCATTTTAGACTTACACCAGGACTGAGAAAATGTAGGTCTCTCATTTTCTCCCACACACATTAAAGGTGTTGTAATCTATTGCAAAACATTTATCATGTTTTTTTTTGTGTTTGTTCAGATGCCTGTGATCTCACACTGGATCCAAACACAGCAAACACTAAACTCATCCTGTCTGAAGGAAACAAAAAGGCAACGCGTGTTAAAGACAAGCAGTCATATCCGGATCATCCAGAGAGATTTGATTCCCATGAGCAGGTTCTGTGTGGAGAGAGTATGACTGGACGCTGTTACTGGGAGGCTGAATGGAGTGGAATGGAGGTTGTTATATCAGTGACGTATAAGGGAATCAACAGGAAAGGAGAGAGTGACTGTTGGTTTGGATACAATGACAAATCCTGGAGTCTCTTCTACTCTAAAAACAGAACCAATGTCTGTCACAATAATGAAAGCGATACCATATCAGCCCCTTCGTCATCCTCTAATAGAGTAGGAGTGTATCTGGACTGGCCGGCCGGCACTCTGTCCTTCTACAGCGTCTCTGACACACACACACTAACACATTTACACACATACAACACCACATTCACTGAACCCCTCTATGCTGGATTTGGGGTTTATGGCTCATCTGTGTCTCTGTGTCTTTATAACTGAATTTAACACGGCAAATTCTGAGCAGCTGTGTGTTGCTAAAGAGTGCTGCATTTTGCTCAAACCCTGATCAAACTGTGCATTTCCTTCTGCACTGGCACTAAACTCTGGAGGACAGTAAACTTTGGTGACCAGGGGCCCGTTCTTCGTACGTCACTAACTCAGTTAGCTGGATTTGATTGTTGATGATTTGGCATGATCTTGGATTTTTTGGTTCTTCGAAGCTCATTCCGAAGTTGCTGTCATATCAACAGGTCCGTAAGCTTAAACAGGATTAGATTGCATCTTTTTAAGTAGAACTGATATTGAAAATCTATCCCAGCCACTGCTACTCTATTACAAGAGTATCCTACTAATCCAGGGACAATAATTTAAAATAATAATCATTTAAAAATCAATTTGAAAATAATATTATAATGTTGTGTAATCTATAATACTATAGACATAGCCAGTTTTACTCATTGAAAGATTTATTTGTGATAAAATAATAACTTTATAATTGTATTAGAGTCTTTCACACATGCTGTACAGTTCATCTGAGTCGTGCATTAATTTGAGTGCTGACTGACAGATATTATGGGAGTGGCTTGATGGAGTGCAGGACATTACATGAATTGCTAATTACAACATTAAACTAAAAATGTAAAGCCTGTACAAATACTAGAAATCATGAATATAAATAATTGGGAATCATGTAAAAAATATAAAATAAATAAAATAAAATGATCACATTTCATTTATCTATTATAACATTTATGTAGTTTTGTTTCCTTATAAAGGTCCAGAAATTTGTCAAACTTTTCATCAGGTGTCTTTTTTAATGAAATTATGTCATTAGGTTGCTGTCTTGCCACCAGCCAATCACTGCATTGCTGATCGTGGTTTTGAGTATCGATACATCTGCCTTCACGGGGAACACGAGAACACGCAGTAATCTTAGACAACTTAATCCAGCTATTTTAATCAGATATGCAAATTCGTTTGAAGAACCAAATTAGCTAGAGATCAGTTATCACGATTACTAGATCTGGAATCTTTCAAATAATTTCAGATGTATTAAATGAGGTACAAAGAACGGGCCCCAGAACTGAGAAACTGGTTATGTATGAAACCTGGGTCCTGGAGAAGAAAACGAGCAGCAGCATCATGGTGTTGATTCTATGGGAATGCCTTCAGCGTGCAACGGTGTCTGAAGCACATCTGAAAACACACCAATCTTATTGGTGATGGCAGTCATATGACAGCACTGGGGTGCGCTGGTACGTCACCTCAACCAGCTCCTCATATGGTGGGCTAAAGTAGGAGGTGGGCTCACTCAAAACTTCTGCTTCAACTCCTGTCACATCTAGCTCCTTGAAACTAGATGGCAATAGAATGAAAATATAACATCAGCTGCACAAGGAATTGTGGGATATTAGGACACAGACACTACAGTACAGAGCATGCAATAAAGTGAAAGTAGACATTTTTGTTCATATTATCCGACTTAAGAACGCAATTAAATGGTGACTTGATGCAAATGAAATACCATAGCCTTTCTTACAACCAGTGTGGGAAAATGTATCACAAACAGAGTGCTATTTTTTTTTTGATTTGCAGCTTACTCAGATGAAAGTTAAACTAAGGGAAAATAAACAACTTTGCCAAAATGTGGCTTTATAATTTATATTTATAGGTTATAGATTTATTATAAATTTATAATTTCTGTACTGCGCAAATGTGTAAGTGCTCACATAACAAATAATGTAACATGCCTGAATTCCTTCCGGTAGCTTGTTGAGATCACACAACTACTCTTAATGCTTGTATGTATACTTTATTTCCCCAAGTAGCTCTCTTCAGCTTCATTGTTCAGCTTCGCTCAGTAAGGAATCAATTTTAATCATGCAATCAAATTTATAAGTGTAGAACTTTTTAGAATGGATGAAAGCAGAACCACACTGATGTTTTCAGACGCTCAGAAAGTTTGTGATGTGACTGAGACTTCATCAGTGGCTGTGTTGATGTCAAAGTTCATGAAAGGAGAGCTGCTTCCCTCTGCTCTCATCTGGATCACCTCCAGACCAGCAGCAGCCAATCAGATCCCCTCCAAATACATCAACCGTCTGACAGAAATTCAGGGATTCAATGAGCCTCAGAAGGAGGAATATTTCAGGAAGAGAATCAGTGAGCAGCATCAAGCCAGCAGAATCATCTCACACATCAGAAGAGCAAGAAGCCTCCACATCATGTGCCACATCCCCGTCTTCTGCTGGATCTCATCCACTGTGCTTCAGAAGCTCCTGGAAGAAGATCTGAGTGCAGAAATCCCTCAAACTCTGACTGAAATGTACATCCACTTCCTGCTGATTCAGATCAACATGAGGAACCAGAAGTCTGAAGAGAGAGATCCAGAGAAACTCCTGCAGTCCAACAGAGAAGTGATTGTGAAACTTGCTGAAGTGGCTTTCAAACAGCTGATGAAGGGCAATGTGATGTTCTATGAGGAGGACCTGATTGAGAGCGGCATAGACCTCACTGACGCCTCAGTGTATTCTGGGATTTGCACTGAGATCTTTAAGGAGGAGTTTGTGCTTCATCAGAGGAAAGTCTACAGCTTCATTCATCTGAGCGTTCAGGAGTTTCTCACTGCTTTCCATGTGTTTTACTTTCATGTGAATAAAACTATGGAGGGACTGAGGAAGTTTGCTTCAGTAAAACATTTGCTTAAAGGTGCAGTAGATCAAGCCCTTGAGAGTGAGAATGGTCATCTGGATCTGTTCCTGCGGTTCCTGCTGGTCGTCTCACTGGAGTCCAATCAGAGACTCTTACAGGATCTACTGACACACACAGAGAACAGCTCAGAGAGCATCAGGAGAACCACACAGTACATTAAAGAGAAGATCAGAGATGGACATGGACTCTCCACTGAAAGATCCATCAATCTGTTCCTCTGTCTGCTGGAAGTGAAAGATCAGACTCTGTCCAGAGAGATTCAGGAGTTTGTGAAATCAGACAAACACTCAGAGAAGAAACTCTCTGCTGCTCACTGCTCATCAATCACCTACATGCTTCAGATGTCAGAGGAGGTGCTGGATGAGCTGGACCTAAAGAAATACAACACATCAGATGAGGGCAGAAGAAGACTGATACCAGCTGTGCTCAACTGCAGAAAAGCCCTGTGAGTGTTACAATGAAAAAATGTATGCAAAGTAGCAATCCTCTCTGAAAGCTACATCTTCATTATCATCTACATTTGCACTATGTCTGTACTTTCTTCTGCACTGGAAGCTCCTTTTGCCAAGACACGTTCCTTGTGTGTGTGTAAACATACTTGGCAATAAAGTTATTTCTGACTTCTGAATTATTATTTATGAAGTTCACAATAATTTAACTTATATAAATTTAGAAGTTTGAATATAAAAGTCAGATAAGAGTAGAGTCAGATTTATATATATTTTTTCACTGAAAATTTTATTTTTCTCTGTTTCAGTCTTGCTGGCTGTAATCTCACTGCGCAGTGTTGTGAAGTTGTGTCATCAGCTCTACAATCCTCAAACTCTGTCCTGAGAGAGCTGGATCTGAGTAACAGTCACCTGCAGGATTCAGGAGTGAAGCTGCTCTCTGATGCACTGACTCTCTGAGTCAGAACTGTCAGCTGCAGATACTGAGGTTTGTGAACACAGTGGTGCATTCACACCCAAATGTGGGACTCTTTTTTTCACAGGGGCAAATTATTTTCCATTCTAGCTATTTCTCATGTGATTCATTAGAGGCTGTTCAAACATAATGTTTTTCAACATGTGATGCGGGCTATTTTATACATAGTAATAAAAAATGGTCATTACTCACCAAAGAAATAAAAAGCAATTTATTAAATAAAATTGTCTCGGGTTACGAGTATAACCTGGGTTCTTTTACATCATCAACTTCTTTGATTGAAAGAGACGTTGCATTTCCACAGACATGCCGAAAAGCTGGGATGATGAGACTGGCACATTGAGGAAAAAGTTCTTCTCTTTTGTAAGGATCCACCTGCCGGCCCAAAAAGCGGAGTCCAGCGGTCTGGATGAAGGTTTAATGTGCATTCAGTCTTTTACTTGCGCTTCTGACATCATTAAATTTAGGTGATATTTCTAATTAAAAACAGAATTCTCAGCGCCACTCACATCATTTTCCATTAAATTACATTATATTTGTCCCAAATTATTGTTAATGTACATAATGACTTAATCCTAGTTTAGAAGATTGTGTATTGTGCATTTTTTAGCAAAACGTTTGTCTTTCTGTGGCTCTAATAAATTCTGTGATTCATTGTGCTATAGATCGCAATTTCTCATCCCGTTTGCTGACGCGACGCGTTCAGTGTGTGATACGTGTTGCACCGGGGCACCACTGTGCTTCTCGTCCAATTGTGCGACCGCAACAAAACGGCACAGCTAGAGTGACTGATATTACCAAAATAAAACAAATCTGTTTTGTGTGAGTTCCTGACGTTTTGGATTCATGAGGAAATAATTTCACTCCTAACACTTTCTCCTTGATGTCTGCCAGGTTCAGCCACAGATGTCTCCCCGTGGACACCATCACAGCTATAAAATGAACCATGGCAGCGTCTGTTTGCTTGGTAGCCTGGAGAGATTTCAATAATCTTGATTTCAGTAACCGCCTCAGGGTGCAGTTCAAAACTTTAAGTAGTTTGGCCTGGTATGCCTGTAAATCTGCCATTGTGTGTAAGGCACCCCCGGCCTGAACTGTTGCCGCATATGCCCTGTTGTTCAAACGTAAAGTGGTTTGAAAGGGTCAGGGTCAGAAACTTCAAAGAATCACACAGAGAGAGATAGCCTGCGAGCATCTCTTCAATGGGAGGAATCCTTACCTATCCCCACTGGTGCAAACCCTCTAAATTTACATAATTAGAATAATTAGATGAATGCAGGTTGAAGGCAGTGGCGAGCGGTGACTTTTTTAACCGGGTATGCTGAGTGATAAGACCCCCCCCCCATCGGCTTTTAGGACATTCAAAAGGGATCACAGATGACAAATAGCTAAGAAACACTGTGACAGTTGTCGATTTAAAAGTATGCACATTTCCTACCTTATTTGTAAATGAAATTAATCACCAATCCTTCTTCTATCGTTTCAAGTTTAACCATTATTCGAATGCAAGAAAAAATATAGCTGGTTTTCCAAGTAACAACCTCCAAATAACGTTTACACGTAGTTACGTTATCAGAGGGTGGGGAGATGGGTGGATTCCCCCGCTCTGTCTCTCTGCATCTGCTAAATTATTTTTTTATTCCCAGTGAATAGGAGTTAAAACTCCCACCCGGGTGACACTACTCCAATAACAGACCATGCAAAAAATATTTAAAATATTGCAAAGTAACATTGCAACCTTGCAAACAATAATAAAATCAGAGAAGGACTTTAACTGTAAGCGACACGAGCATACGCAAAACAAAGGGAACAAGTTTGTTAATATAAAAATGTTATAAACTTTTTTTTTAAATGTACCGCTATAACGTTAACAATAACGTATATCTTCAACATATGTTGTCTATGACCAAAAATTTAAGAAGATATGTTTTCAGTGGAAAATTTGCTTTACTTGAGAAAACTAAAATATACAGTCACAGTGTTTTTTTTCTTTTGATTTAGTCGAGTTGGTTTTGCATCAAACATAATGTGATTTTCGGCAATCGAGGTCTGACAGCAACAGTGCATTTTTCCTCTTGGGCGAGCGCTTGGTGGACAGCTTACCTCGTGCATTAAATCAGCCGCAGACCAGCAAATCAGTGAGAACGTGCTACAATCCTGACGACTCATAGCAACAGAGCGGAGGCGAGAAAGCTGCAGAGAATCCGCTCGCCTGGATGCAACCACAACTGATGTAGATTTAAAGAAAATGACTGCCGTTTGGCAAATAAATCACTGTACGTACTTATTCCTAACTCTTTAAGCTTTAAGTTACATTTCAAATGACAAGGGATCAACTTATAATCATGTTTATATGAATTATCCTGTGAACGTATTCTCTCAAATGGCCTGGGTATGCGGAGCATTCGCAGCTTATATGGACGGAATGGCACTGGTTGAAGGTCTCCTCCATGATCTCTGCACCTCAGTGTGAAGATCGGGAAGAAACGGAAGGCTCACAGTAGCCAGATGGCTATGGCCTGACAGAAAACACTTCTCTCACGCCTCCAAGCTAGATCTAATCTTATTCATTCTTATTTTGCATGTGACTTCAACATTCTATGGAGAGATTGACATATAAAAGCTTCCGAAATGTTAACGTGTAATTCTAATGCAACATCATGTATATCTCTCTGTAGATTGTCTGGCTGTATGGTGACAGAGGAAGGATGTGGTTATTTGTCTTCAGCTCTGAGTTCAAACCCCTCACACCTGAGAGAGCTGGATCTGAGCTACAATCACCCAGGACACTCAGGAGTCCAGCTGCTCAAACACAAACTGCAGGATCCAAACTATAAACTGCAGATACTCAAGTATGTATATGATACATTTGTGTGTGCATGCTTTTAAATAGTTTTTTCTCAATACTCACCTACTAACATGAAAACG